ACGCGTCTTTCGTGATGCCCAATCATCGCCAAGCGTCCAAGGGGAAGCGTCCAGCTTGCAAGCGTCCAAGGTTGGACGCCTCGGGCCTTTTCCTGTGGGCTTTGCCGCGGCTTGATCCAATTCAGGCCCAGTTTCAATTTTCACTTTGCTTTGCAATTTGTTTCAGCTCCCTCCGATATTCTCATGATAAAATTCTCAATTAAAAACTTCTTTTTCTTCCAAATATGAGTAGAAAAATCAACAATCAAGACTGGACAAACTTTAAACCAATTATTGTTCCTTAAAGAACAGATCAAAGATATTGTTCAGTTTAACATAAAATTATGTACTGCTTATCACTATTTTCGTGCAATACCGCTTAAAATATGTAGAATAAAATAAGAACAAAATGAACTTATCAAGCTGAGAATCCAAAAAGGTTGAGGATCTTCTCAAGATAGGACCAGGAGACTCTATCAAATGCCTTGTTCATGTCGAGCTTAATCACCATGTTCGCACCTCTTTTACCTTTGTCAATACCATTAATGATTTCTTTTGCAAGAAGAATGTGATGTTTTATTTCTTTTCCTTTTTGAAAAGCGCCTTGCTCCCTTGATATAATTCTTGGCAAGAGAGTTGAGAGTCTATTTGCAAGGATTTTTGTAATAATCTTGCTAGGAAAAGTAGATAAGGAGATTGGTTTGAAGTTTTTCCAAGAAGCTGCGTTATCCACCTTTGGTATCAAAGAGATCATGGTTTTGCACATAGACTTGGGGGGAGGGATTCCCAGGAAATATTCCTGACAGCTTGAAACAACATCCTCTTTAACTATTTCCCAACAAGTCTGAAAGAAAAAGCCGTTGAAGCCGGGCCACAATGTGCATCCGATTTCCCATAGACTGGCTGTAGAGGAACCGGGCCACAAAGACAGCCACATTCACCTCCTGGCGTGTGTGCAAACTCCAGAAGACAATCAAGTCATCGAGGTATACCCGATCCGTGTTCAACGGCCTTCCAAAGAAGGACGTCGAAAGCACAAAAGATAGGATTCGCCAAGTCGGCTGAATCCAAAACCTGGCTCGACCCATGCCCTCAAAGCGGTCTTGATCAGAGGAATGCTCTGCCCAAAAGTCAGCAGGATCAACGTCTGCAGGGAGAAGGTATGGTGCGGCCTCGAATTCTGGCGCCGACGTTTCCTCCAATGTGTAGAGACCCAAGTGTGTAGCCAGATAGGCGACTGTCAGCTGAAATCCCCGCCCTAGGAGAGTAAAGGTGAGGGTGGTGCGAGAGTCGATGGACTGGAAGTTCAGCGACCTCGACCCTGTAGATGGCTTCAACTCTAGAGAGCACAGAAACTCGATCGTCAGGGGCAGGCTGGATTCAGCCCGCATCGTGAGGAGGCGATGCCACCTCGTCCCTTGTAGCAGCTGCTCCATCTCCTCCGCGTACCCGTAGTCGGCGAGGATTGTCGAGGACAGGTACACAGACTCCGTCAAAGAGCGGTGGCGGCTCTGTGAAAGGGGAGGTTTTCTCGTCGAGAAACAATATAAATTGAATTTATTAAGACCTTTACATTATTGGCAATTATTCGTGAACAATGGGCTTTAGAAGAGGTAGTTGAGTCTATTTGATCTTAACAATTCTGTTAAGAAATACATTCATTTCAGTAAATGGTTGACTTCTATTTGATTTAATCAAGTAAAAATACATGTTTGGCGAAAACTTGGCATATTTTCAGAAGAAATGAGAGGCAACTCTAAAAGTATAGCTATTTAACGAAGTCTGATGATTATGTTAGGTGAATTGGCCTCATAATGATGCAATTAAAGCTCCTTTCAGCAATAATAATAGAATGTCATACCCTCAGTGGTCAGAAGTTGTTGCTTGAGGGCAAGCAACGTTTAAGTGTGAGGAATTTGATAAGTTCATTTTGTTCTTATTTTATTCTACATATTTTAAGCGGTATTGCACGAAAATAGTGATAAGCAGTACATAATTTTATGTTAAATTGAACAATATCTTTGATCTGTTCTTTAAGGAACAATAATTGGTTTAAAGTTTGTCCAGTCTTGATTGTTGATTTTTCTACTCATATTTGGAAGAAAAAGAAGTTTTTAACTGAGAATTTTATCATGAGAATATCGGAGGGAGCTAAAACAAATTGCAAAGCAAAGTGAAAATTGAAACTGGGCCTAAATTTTATCAAGCCGCGGCAAAGCCCACAGGAAAAGGCCCGAGGCGTCCAACCTTGGACGCTTGCAAGCTGGACGCTTCCCCTTGGACGCTTGGCGATGATTGGGCATCACGAAAGACGCGTAGCAAGCAGCGAATGGACGGGCCGTGCAAGGTGTCCAACTTTGGACGCTTTGGATCTGGACGGCTGGGGTTGGACGCTTCGCGTCCAGTCCTATAAATACAGCACTCCCCTCTTCGATTTTAAGCACTGCACAGCGCCCTTCTCCTCCCTCAAGTCCGAAATTCTCCACTTTTAGTCTAGATTTACAAAGCTACTTTCATACTTTAGATTAGTATTATTTCTCGGAGTTTTCACGGAGCAAGTTGTAGCCCGAACCTCCAGTTCTTCAGATTTGTTGAAGTAAGTTTGTCACTCTTTACTTTTAATTGAAAAATGTCTACTTATGATGCATGTGTGTTGAAGGTTTTTATTATGAGTAGCTAAATTGATTAGGGATGTGATTATTGGAATGGTGATGGTAACTTTCTGAAAAAATCATTGAGTTTAATTTTATTATTGTCAAGATAATTTACTAGTTTTTTATTACTGAGAATTTATACTAAAGATTCGTTAATCGAGAGAGAGCAAATCTATTCTTGAAAATTATATTTCCTGAGAAATTTGGAATCTAGTTAAGTCAAGTCCAGTAATTCTGATAATTAATCTTTAGACATTGGATTAATTGTTAAGTAAATATTTGAAAAGATGTTTACTTACTAGTAAAAAGATTTAAAGTAAAAGTAACCGGTGATTTTTCTCTAAAAAAAACCATCACCTAACCAATAATTGCATCCCTACTTTTTATTCCTGAAAGGTAAAAATTCAATCTCCATCCCTTATTCGACCTTTTGAAAACTTTTTGATTCAACGAGTAAATCTTGTCTAGCTAGTCTCGCTAACTTTCCCTTGGGCCGATCCTTGAGACGACACAGGATAAAACTGATCTTTTAAAGGTCTAGTCTGTTCCCTTT